ATTCCATTGGGACCAAGTAGCACTAAATTGGTGACTTAGAAACGACACTGTCAAGGAACGCCATGGACAGCGGAAACATGCAAGAGGAGGAGAGTTTAGTGTCGGAGGTCGTGGATGAGTCTCCTCCATCATGCATTTTTTATTTAGAGGAGGAAAGCGGGACGAAGATGTTGTGGAAGAGGACGCCAGGGAGGCAGAAGCTTGGTTTGGTGTAGAAGGCTTACAGCCGTACATGTTTGAGCCCTTGCCTCGCAACGCTGCCAGTTCTGTTAGCTCTACGCCTGCTGAAGACACAGACGTCCATCCCTGTGAACACTGGGACGCAACTCCATGGGAAAGGAATTATTCTTATTTCTTATTTCAACCATTACGTATATTAGCTGTGACACATGAATCAAGATGCTATGACCGAAATATTTTGATTGACAGATGACCGTTGATATACTATTGGCTAAATTTAGGTGTTCAGGCTGACGGATAACTAACTGGCCTGTAGAAGATAATGAAAAAAACCCCCACAGATTTTTAGACAGTTCTTTTTTTATTTTAAATAGAAATTTTCTAAATTTTGGGACAATATCGTCTGATAAAGAGTACATTTATAAAGTTTCAGCCAGAATGATTTGACATTTAAATTTGATTTCCCTACGACTTTAAATAATTGTTGTTGATTGCAGCTGTGTCTAGTAGTTCCCATTGATTTTGCTTGTAAAGTGGGGAGAATGGCGCTAGGCTTACCGCACCGTGACGTCACTGCTGGAAGATGTCAAGAGGGAGGGGTTACTATATTTGGGCAAAAATGGCCGCTCCCAGACTCAGTGATCACGACGAAAATTATTGTTTTTATTTTTTTACTCATTAAAGCCAAATTCATTAAATCACCATGAACGCATTAGTTTTATGTAGGGTTGTCAAAAGTATCGATACTCAAAAAAGTATCGATACTGAAATGTTGTATCCGGATACAATACTCATTTTGAAAAGTATCGAGTACCAGTCGCACCTAAACCGTCATTCATCTAAAGTGCAGAATAGAGGAAAATGCACTTTCTGAACACTGTGATTGAATAATTCTGTGCACTTTTCAGTTTCAGACTTTTTTTGTAATAGTTGCAGCTGCTGAGAATTATTTTTGTTTCTTAACTAGTTTGGCTAGTGTCATTGTTATGTGTGCAAAGCATAGCCAAGGAAGGAACACTTAGTTTTAATTTTGTAAGTTTTTTATCAAGCTTGCTAAATACTGTGCACAGCAAACAAGCTCAAAATATTGTTCTTATTGTTTATTGTACTTATTTATTTATTGTATTTTAATTATTAATCAAAATATTTCTGTTGAAATTTTATCCTTGTGGTATCGAAAATGGTATCGAGTATTGAATATTTTCCTTAGTATCGGTATCGAGTTGAAAAGTTTAGTATCATGACAACCCTAGTTTTATGTATAGATTAATATTCCTTGCTGAGCTGACTTTTCCTTTGAGGAAAATCGTTCAGTTATGATCGGTGGCAGATCGATGGACACACCACAAGCAGTGTTATTAATTTAGATCCGTTTTTGCATTATGGTTGTTAGGGACCTGTTTATCTTCGAGATGATGAGTGAATCACACAGGTAGAACGAAGCGGTGTGTGCGGTGGGCGATTCATGGCGCCGAGCACTCTGACCCACCTGCAGGTCGTTCTGTGGGTTCCAGTCAGAGTCAAAGATGATGCAGGTGTCGGCGGCCGTCAGGTTGATTCCCAGCCCTCCTGCTCTGGTGCAGAGCAGAAACACAAAGCGGTCCGAGTCTGGCTTGCAGAAACGGTCAATGGCCGCCTGCCGCAGGTTCCCCCGCACCCGGCCGTCGATGCGTTCGTACGTGTAGCTGAGGAGTCAGACACACAGAGACAGTTTCCTGATGAAACCAAAACCTTTAGAAAATGACCAACTTTAAGCTTTCAATAAAGGAAAATAGTTTGAACAGAACAGAATTGTCTCTTTTCCTGATAGCGATCAATAAAAACAACAAGCTGTTGTGTTAAGGTGAGATCATGGAGACACTAAAATCACGGTTATGTCACAGGCAATGTCTTCCTGTTCCGACCATCAGGCTGAACAATGAGAGCATCAAGCTGAAAGATTCAAAACCTGCTCATCAGACTGAACACAATTTAAGTGGCGGGAGCATGGCAGTGGCAGCATTATGCTCTGTTTAAGCAGGGAAGGAGGGAGGCGGTGTAGAAGCTACTGGAAGCTGCGGGGGACCAAAGCTGATGCAGACTGAGGGTTTCAACAATCGTCCACTATGTTTCTGCACCCTTGAGGGTCTCACCAATCATCCCCTCAGATCTCTGCACCCCTGAGGGTCTCATCAAATGACTCCTCAGATCTCTGCACCCTTGAGGGTCTAATCAATCATCCCATCAGTTCTCTGCACCTGAGGGTCTCATTAATCGTTCTCTCAGATATCTGCACTCTTGAGGGTCTAAGCAATCATCCTATCGGGTCTCTGCACTCCCCAGGGTCTCATCAATCATCCCATCAGATCTCTGCACCCTTGAGGGTCTAAGCAATCATCCTATCGGGTCTCTGCACTCACCAGGGTCTCATCAATCATCCTCTCAGATCTCTGCACCCTTGAGGGTCTCATCAATCATCCTCTCAGATCTCTGCACCACTGAGGGCCACATCAATCATCCCATCAGATCTCTGCACCCCTGAGGGTCTAATCAATCATCCTCTCAGATCTCTGCACCACTGAGGGTCTCATCAATCATCCTCTTAGATCTCTGCACCCCTGAGGGTCCTATCAATCGCCTGCTCAGTGGACAGATGGAGGTCTGAGGCCAGAACCTGACAGACAGACATACAGCCAACTGTAGACCCTTTCTCTCTATATCTCTCTCACCGTCTCTGAATGAGGTAGTCCTCCAGGATGTCCAAGCAGCGGACCATCTGGGAAAAGATCAGCACTTTGTGACCCCCCGACAGCAGCTTGGGCAGCAGCTTGTCGATCAGAACCAGCTTACCAGCCGCCTGAATCATGGCCTGCAGCTGGAAGGCTGGGGAGTCTGGACTGTGGCTCTTCTTGAAGCTTTCCAGGATCTTCTCCTCTGCCCCTGAGAGAAAAGAAGGAAAGGTGGAGGGTACTTGGTTTGGAACATTTCCAGGTGTTCTCCTCATACCAGTGAAACAGAATCAAATGAACAGATTGAACGCATGTCTAGGCTACAGAGAAGTTACAGAGAGCTGCTCTCAGTCACCTGTGATCAGGTAGGGGTGGTTGCAGCACTTGCGGAGCTCCATCATGGTATTGATCAGGTTCGGCATGTTGTGCTGGTTCGCTCCTTTAGAGAGGAAGGAGAAGTTCTTCTCCAAGATGGCACGATAGTACTTCTTCTGGATGTTGGTCAGCTCCACCTAGAAGAACAAACCATTGACTCTTAGAGGCCTGTCAGAGCAGTAAAGGCAGCATTAGACATGGACATAAACTCAAGGCAATAAACAGTGCTCAAAAAAAAAAAGGGAACACTTAAATAACGGATCTTGGATCTGAATGAAGTAAATATTTTCACTGAATACTTGACGCTGTACAAGGTTAAATGTGCTTAAAGCAAAATAACACAGAAATCATCAATGGGAATAAAATTCATTAACCGAGGGAGGCCTGGATTTGGAGAAATAAAAAAATGTAAGTAGAAAAAAAACACTACTGGCTCATCAAACTTCCTTCAAACAGGTCAGATGAGGCTCAGTATTGTGTGCGGCCTCCAGGTGCCTGTATGACATCCCTATAACGCCTGGACATGCTCCCGATGAGGTGGTGGATGGTCTTCTGGTGGATCTCCACCCAAACCTGGACTAAAGAATCCTTCAACTCCTGGACTGTCTGTGGTGCAACATGATGTTGGTGGATGGATAGAGACACAATGTCCCAGATGTTCTCAATCGGATTAAAGCCTGGGGAATGGACGGTCCAGTCCATAACTTCAATGCCTTCATCTTGAAGGCACTGCTGACACACTCCAGTTACATGAGGTCTAGCACTGTCCTACATTAGGAGGAACCCAGGGCCAAACAAACTAGCATAAGGTCTCATAAGGGGCCTGAAGATCTCATCTCGGTACCTGGCAGTCGTGCTACCTCTGGTGAGCACATGGAGGGCTGTGCAGCCCTACAAAGAAATCCCACCCCACACCATTACTGACCCACTGCCAAACCGGCCACGCTGAAGGATGTTCCAGGCAGCCGATGGCCCTCCACTGTAGCCCCATTTCCAATACCCTCTGAAAACCCATTAGTGCCGAGCTTGGTTCCATAAGACTGTTTACACGCCAGCACAGTTCCTCGCCTCCAAGTGGCAATCTACGGTACAACAAGCAAACCAACATGGCGGCGCCCATAACATTTAGGAAGTTTGCAGAGTCAGGCAAAGAAGGCAGCCTTTGGTGAATTTATTTGACAGAGTCGGCTTCTGGGAAGTGGATACAACAAATGATAGTCTAATCAGGTCTTACAGACGCAGGAAACAACGAGAGACTTTGACGCTCATCACACTGCTAAGCAGAATCCTCACTGGAAGTCGTGTGGCACGGTAGGAAAGCTAGTATTTTTATGAATACCTGAAATTTCATGATTACGGAGCCTGACTGTTAGGAGATGACGCGGTCTGCTCATGCACTCTTTGTTATCTGAGAATCGAGCCAGAACTGAACCGCGCCGAGCCCTACTAATGAACTTGTACCAGTTTGGTTCGCTTGTGTCGTAATGTTATGACTTTATTCTCGTAATATAAAAAATTTTTTCTCGTATTATTACAACTTTTTTATCGTAATGTTACAACTTTATTCTCAAAATAAAAAAAATCTCTGACCTGGACCTAATACTCCGTCGTACTACTTCCTGGTGTTTTGGGATTATATAAAATTATGTTGTAATTTGTAGTTACCGATCCATCGTTACCATATGTCAATTTGACAAACCGTAGTTGTAGTTGTGGATTTTGACCTGGTCTGTTTCCAACGGACCGGAGCAAAAAAATAGCCCAGCTCCGTATTTTGACGGTGACGGACGGAGAAGATGTGCGTGGATGGTGACGTGCGGAGGAGTAGCGGTGGATGTGGAACAGTTGTCATTGATTAACATGACAGACAAATACTCCGCATGACGTACATGAGCGGCGCGGAGCGCTGTATACACACAGTGTAAACAAAATCAATTATTATATACATATATATACCTCATAAAAAATATATATAGACTTTATAGAAAAAAAAAAACTGCAGCTGCAGCTGTAGTCCCACCTTCTTGACTTTGATAGATGTGACAGTTTTTATCATTTCATGATATGCTTCGCAGGAACACAGAATTATTAATAGAATCATGAAATAATTATGTTCACTTCTTAAAATGTAATCAATATATTGAACTTAATGATTTACTTGTAAAATAATTTCTGTATTTTTTCCTAGTTTAAATAAAATTAATTGCAGATTTAAAGAAGTATTTCCTAAGTTATTTATTCATTATATTGTGGCACTCTTTACCTTCCTTATTCACCTGAATTGTTGTTTTTTATGGGTTTTATGTTTGGTTATTTGAATTAGAACAATTTTTCACAATCTTATGTTAATGGGGGAAAACAAACTCTATTCATCTTTAGTTTAACTTTTAATGTTTTATATATCATTTTTATTTAAATGTGTAATATAGCTGCTTATCAATGAATGGCTGGTCAAAGGAAAATATGAATCAACTAGAGATTTGTTAATTAATCGATACCCTGCATCCCTAACTTAAAGTATAGTTAGTATTAGTGAAGGGATGCACCAGAAGAGCTGCATTTAATGACTGCATCATGTCCTCAGCAGCTGCAGAGGCCTGTTAATGACACACTGAATGAGGTCAGGCGTGTGGAGGCAGAGGAACACCTGAAGCACGTAGGATATTAGAGGCCTGCTGCAAAATATCCAGATTTCAAGAGAGCTGCCGTCCTCCCAATGCAATCTGGATCCATTCTTCAACAGATAAACCAAATGGCTGATTAACCCCCAACATTCAGTCCTGTAGCTCTGCAGAGGCTCCATCTATCTGACCCAGGAGGGTTGGAGAAGGGGTGCATCTATAGGCTGCTGGATGTGGACACTATCGTCCTCCTCTATCACTCTCTGTCCTTCAGGTTTAGGAGTTTGATCCCGCCCACTTCCACACCTTGACTTTGGCTCAGCAGCAGTTTTGAGCTATGTTCACACCAAACACAAACGCATTGAATTTTCCATGCTGTGAAAAAAAAAAAATGTGAAGGTATGGCAAGTCGTTTTCACATTAAATCTGTTAGTTAACTATTAGTTAACTATCATAAAGCTTCTTCCAGACCTTGAGTTTAGCTAAACCTGGTTTAGCTAAACCTGGGGGTTGTGATGATAGCTGGAAGGAATCAAGTCAATTGCTGCATTGTAGGTTTTTGAACATTTTATTCTGAGTCTTTAAAAAACCTACAGTAATGCAGTAATTGAGTTGATCCCTTCCAGCTATCATCACAACCCTCACTGCCATAGAGGGGACCTAAACACCTCGCCTGTTTCAGCCAGGCCAATAATTCCCTCTAAAGACCCCCCTTTCAGAGACATAGACAGGTGTCGGGTATTACAGGCTAAGAAAGAACTCAAACAACCCCATTCCTAAGGGGCTGACCCGTTCATCCGGTTCAATTTGCATGTTTTCTAAAGGCTTTGTTGGGCTACTCTATAAAACCTTGAAATCAGCGCTTATTCTGACATTTTGAATTGAAAAAGCTTCCTGGATGCGAAGCGAAACGTCTTCAAACTTGGAAACCAAGTCAGGTGGATTTTTTTTTACTTATTTTTGGAATGAGTTCTGAACGTGTCCTTCGCATCACCGAGCGTTTACTGAACGCGACTCTATATCAGGATAACATGGAAAACCGCAGACCCACGCACTTCGCTTGTGTTCACTTTAAACTAGAACAGAAAGCAGGGAGGATTCAGGAGAGCTGGACCAACGTGTTCTAAGGACGGTTCAACCGTCCACTCAGACAGTTGGGTGAGTCTTAGGGGTGTAAATCACATCCATCATGGCGATTCGATTCAGTATCGATTTCCTGACCCAACGATTCGATTATTTTCGATACTCAAGAATACACCACGATTCGATTCGATTAATCTATTAAATTTTTTTTTATTATAATTATTTTTTTACACCTTACAGGCTAAACAAAGTTTCAAGTTTGAAATAAATCAATGAAAGCTGTAATATCATTATGCATTTTCTTTAGAAACAACAGCAAATAACAGAAGTAGAAAAGTTGCATCAAAAAATACTGCAAAAATACTGCACAATATCAGTGTAATGAGTTCAATGCAATACCTCGGCTCCAGAGAAACTGTCCAACATATTTTTTTAGAATGTAATAAATATATTCAGGAAAGAGAGATGTTGCGTAGAGAGTTAGACAGGAATAAAAATAAACTAGATATAAGGGAATTGTTTCAAAGGTCATCTGGGGATGTAGTTTTTGGTAGTATTTTAAATTTTTTAAGAAGAATGGGTATTTTAGGGAGAATATAATAGTTTGTCTGGTCCATACTCCATTCTGGAAGGTGGCGGTAATGCACCTATAAGTTGTTTGCCAACCGCCATTAAAAAAAAGAAGAAGGCTCCAGAGTGTCGACGTCACCGCCCCCTTGAGAGACGCTCCGCTGCTCCTCTCCCAGATTGTAGCTGACCGCAAACAGTGCAGCAGACAGGAGGCCGGCTTGTTTTGTTTTTATGATTGAAATTGCAGAAAACAACTCGTGAAGTTTGACCCGCTAGAAGAGCGAGGTGCGCGAGAACGCTGGGACCCTTTTTCCAGCTGGATCTCCGCTCTTTTTGGCCCTCATGTCCCTCGGTTGTCGGACTAAACTCGCCCCCACTTCCTCGCCGCCTCGGCCGTTTCTAGACCCACAGTGTGTAGCTCAGACCACGCTTCAATACTGAGCATAATTTAAAAATGTCAAGCTTGCTGCAACACACTGCTGTAAGGGTATAACCAGGAAGCGCGGTAGGAGGGCAAAATAGGTTTAGCAGCACCGCAGCACGAGAGGGAGAATTACGCCCAGGAGGAAATGGATAAAAATAGACCGGAGGAAAAAAAAAAACATGAATCGATTATCTTGCGGACGTGTCGATGCATTGGATCGTCGGCTTTTGGATCGATGCATCGATACAAAACGATTATTATTTACACCCCTAGTGAGTCTCTCACCTCGACGATGGTTTCCTCTTTAGGCGCCAGATTCTTCTCCACGTCATCCTTCAGTCTCCGCAGCATCATGGGTTTTAAAATGGACTGAAGCTTCTTCACCTGTTGGAGAAGCAGTTAGACACAGACAGACTCTGCTGCTTGGCTCGCCGACACATCCGCTCTCCTCCCGCGGCACCAACGTCAAACCCAGCTGGACTCACCTGCTCGTCTGTCTTTAGGTCTCCGAACTCCTCCAGGAAGGAGGTCTCTGAGGGGAACTGCTGAGGCTCCAGGAAGTTCAGCAGGCTGAAGAGCTCCTCCACCGAGTTCTGCAGAGGGGTTCCGGTCAGAAGCACCTTGTGTTCCTGTAAGGATGCGGAGCAGAACGGATGTTAGAGCAGGGTTTGGATCGCTGTGATCAGGGGTGGATTTAGGAAATTTGGGGCCCTAAGGAAAGACAGGCAGGGGGTCATCTGAATTGAGAAGACAAAACATAAAACAGCTCATTATACAGATAGAGAAATATTAATAGAATAGACATCCATTATCTGTTCTAGGTTGTGTCCCTCTCTTCTTGTCCCTTTTCTTCTTGTTTTCCTCTCTATGTTTTGTACTTTTCATGCTGTCTCTAAAGGAATGAAAGATTTTTTTCCAGGCCCTAAGCTCACTTAGCTGATTGCTCCTTCCTGTGTTTCCAAAAAGGCAAAAGTAAATAACCCAGTCCTTCTTTTCACTGTAGACAAGCCATGATCTGCTTCTCTGTTCTGCATTTTTCATTTGGATGAAATAATAGCTGCATGAATCATGACAGCAGACAAGATAGAGGAGAGCAGGAGGCGGGGTTACCAAACTTCTTGCTCTGGAGAGCAGAGTTCGCTGCTTATAGATGTTGTCGCCAAAGTCTCCACTAGCAGAAAAAAGTCGCTAGATTTTAAAATCAAAGTGCTATATTTAGCGACTGAAAAGTCGCTAAATATAGCGACAAATGCGCTAAGTTGGCAACACTGCTCTTCAAATCGTTTGTTTTTTCAAATGATTTGCTGCTGTCTGTTTGGACCTTTCTGAACATGTGCAGCAAATGGACTGATCCAATATTGTGGACACTTAAGGGGGGGCGGGGCTGAGACACACTTAATATCACAAGCGTTCTGATGGCATTTTAGTGAAAGAATTTTTTTTAAAAACATAATGTGCTCAAATAAGGAATAGTTGGATTAACCATACATGTAAACAGAGTTTTATGGGGCTTGGAACTAGACAACTGCCTAGTATTGCTTAATGGTAAATTCACCCCCTGGTTGTGATAAAGACTGAAAGCAGACGTGGAAATGAAAATTTTCATTTTAGGACTTCATTACAAACAGCCTACTAGTCTGAGATCAGAACTTTTATTTCCAATCATTTAGCAGTTTGAGTCTCTTTCTTAACATTAGAAGAAGCACGGCGTTTACTTGCTGACATTGACCGTTTCTTAATTCACAAGAGCGCGAGTACGGACTTGTGTTCCTCGCCAAGTATGTTCTTGAGAAGAACACAGGGAAGTGTGGACTCTGTGTAACAAGTGTGTGACTTTCTTCCTTTAGTGGGGGAATAATAATGAACACAGTCAGATAAAAACAAATCAAATGAAAATTTTGCCAAATAAAACAAAATAATTGCCATCATAGTCAGCGGTCCTTCACACACAGCTATGCAGAGAGAGAGCTGCTGGGGACAGGCTAACAGTAGCCCTGGCTGCCGTTAGCCTTGGAGGTCCACTGGTTGCTGCGGTCCTCTCAACATTGGAATTTTTTTTAAATTACGCACTAAATCAGTAAATGGGCCATATAGTGATGCTTTAAAGTATAATGTTCTCACCTCAAATTATCTTAAAACGTACTTTTATTGAATAATGGCAACAAAAAGAGAACTTTTAACTTAATACTCTGAGCTCTGTGAGCACTAACCTGGAAGCTGCTGCTGCCGCAGTGCATGCTGGGACAGCTGTCAATCAGTCTAGTCTAATGTGATGCATGCTGGGTAAATAGGGAGGGGCGAGAACAACATCCGGGAACTTCTGCTGTTCTTGTGAATTGGAAGAGAACTAGGGCCGAGGCTGATGACGTTTCACGAGTACACGAGAAGGCACAAGTACACATATTGAGAAACGGCCATTGTGTGCTAGCTTAGGCTCATTACTGCCAGAAATGTTGCCTTAAATTGTACACATGTGCCTTAGAGGAGAAGCAGCAGGACACGGACCAGGTTCATGAGCTTGAGTCCTTCCAGCAGTTTGCAGTTCCTGTTCTTCAGCCTGTGGGCCTCGTCGATCACCACGCAGCGCCACTGCAGCTTCTTCAGCTCGGGACAGTCGGCCATGATCATCTCAAAGGTGGTGATCAGGCCGTGGAACTTCAACCCTCCTGACACAGTGTTACCCTGCAGGAGAGAAGCGGCGGAGATGTCAGTTGGTGTCCTGCTAAAGCGAGGCGTGATGCCAAAGACGAGCCGGCAGAAGCTCTGACCTGCGCGTCTCTGTAGAACATCTCGTACTGCAGGATCATCTGGCGGCTGATCTGCGAGCCGTGATACACGATGACGTTCATGTGCGTCCAGGTGCGAAACTCCCTCTCCCAGTTAGTGATGGTGGACAGCGGGGCGATGATGAGGAAGGGGCCACGGATGCCCATGCTGAAGATCTCATACAGGAAGGTGATGGACTGGATGGTCTTCCCCAGACCCATCTCGTCCGCCAGGATGCAGTTCTTCCTGTGGAGGAGGAGGAGGAGAACGTGATGGACCCGCCCAGCTCTCCACCAGGAGGAACCCCCTCAGCTGACGTGTCTGAGGACCCACCTGTTGTACCAGTTGAACATCAACCAGTTCATTCCCTCCAACTGGTATTCTCTGAGCTGGTTCCCATTGCGGTAATCTCTGGAGCTCTCCAACTTCTGCCATTTTTCTGGAGGCGGACGATCCTGCCAAAGAAAAAAAGGAAAATTTAGCTTCCTGAGGGAATCAAGGAGCAGAGATCCGTAAAATTAATTCTCTGAAAAACTAGATTCTTTGCTCTTATTGGCTCTGCTCAGAAACTCAGGACTTTCCAACCAGCTCCAGTCAATGATTAATCGCTAAATTATTGATGATTATTGCAATAATCAATTAATTATGATTAATTGTTTCAGCCCTAAACCTAATAAAAAAATATTACTAGGATACTCTAAAAGTGTTGAGGTTTTAACCGATAAACATTTGTTTTATTATTAAGGACTATTTACTTTGTTAAAAAGGTTCATTTTTCATTTCTAGGTCAGCCTTTTCAATTTAGTAATGTAGCTCAGATTACTGAGCTAGATTACTGAGTAATCTAGCTCAGTAATCTGAGCTACATTACTGAATTGAAAAGGCTGACATGTTCGTTACCCCCAAATCCGTCATGTTCTGTCCCATGCAGATAATGGCGCAGAGCCCCATCCTGTCAGACAGACCCTGACAGTACTCTAGCTCTGAGTGGATTACTCACTCAGAAATATGCCGACTCATATTTCTGAGTCAGCAGAAATGTGAGGAAATGATGCTGCCAGCGCGTTCTTGGTCAGGAGATCCGAGACCACCGCAGAAGAATGAGGGACAAGCAGACATCTTCTGTAGATTCGTTTCTACCCACCATGTGTCTGAGGTCTGCCGGAAGCTTCTGGATCTCCTCGAATTCCCTGATCTTCTCCGGGTCCAGGTCCTCCTGCAGCTCCCAGGTGGCCTCCTCGTACGACAGACTGCACCACTTCACCAGGTAGTGGGTCACCTCCTGCAGCAACACAAACGGGTCAGATGGCACGGCTCCGCACAGACCACAACCAAACGGGTTTGACGGACAATCCTACCTCTCCTGTCTCTGTATCCGTGGTAACGGCCACTTCCAGGACTCGGTCCACCTCCACGTAGTCTGGATTGAAGAGGTCCTCGTCAGGCTGCGGGGAGAAAAACAGCGATCGTTCACGGTCCGGCCTGCTATGACCTGTACTAAGAACCAATTAGGCGGTCCGATCAATCATCCAATCACGTCCATTTGGAACTAAGTACGGCTGAAATGTGACAACAGCAGTGTACCGCTAGCCTTCTTTGAATTTAAACCACAGTGTTTCAGAGCTGCCTTTGACTGCTGATGTTTCAGTTAACTGAGGTATCCTGAGTTCAGCCTTTTGATTTATTTATATACCTGCTTTTTGGAAGCGCTTCGGTAGCGCAGTGGTTAAGTGTGCAAGACCCGAGTACAGAGGCCCTAATCCTTGATGTGGCCGACCCGGGTTCTAATCCGGTGTAGGTACCAGATCTGCTTGGGGCCCGGCCCCTTCTTTTCATGTCAACATATGGCAACTCCACTTGGACAAACTGTATTGCACTTGTTTCTTAAGGATCAAATCTCTTTTGGAGTCTCAACATATTATTACCAACATTTGCTATTATTTTATATTTCATTGGTGATCCAAAAGTAGAAAACAATCATTGTCAGTCTTGAAGGAAAAAGCTTCTAAGACTGAGCTCTGCTATTTAACAAGATGACAAAAAATGTCTGGGGCAATATCTGATAAAGATTACATTTATATACGTTTAAGCTAGAATAATTTGACATTTAAATATGATTTGCCTTCATGTTAAAGTAGAGCTGAAAACAGGGAGGAAGGAGAACAGCGGGAGGTTCTACCTCAGTGAAGAGGTGCTTCATCTGAGCCTGCTTGGTCCTGAAGCGTTTGATCTTCTGTTGGATTCTGGGATCCTTCTCCAGTTCTTCCAAAGTGGCCCATTTGCAGTGGAGGTAGGAACTGAAAGAGGACAAAAACAAACCAAGAAAATTCTTAATTCCTGAACTGAACGCAGTGTTCTGCTTTCAATTCACACCCAAAATAAAACGTATATATAATCGTGTAGAATGAACACCGGCTGATGGTTTCCAGCCTTTCTTTCTATTTATAACAGATTTTCCACACAACAAAAACATTCAGGATCAGACGGATAAAGAACTTAAAGTTGAGATAGAAAGGAGCCAGAATAGATCTCTGACTGCAGGAGCAGAAATCCAAGGAATGCTCACAGAATAGCATCTGTGAGCAGGTTTAACATCTAGGTGTTTAATATCTACAGCATATCAAGGCTGCGCTGCTGAACTAAGGATCTTTTTATTGCAGGAATGCATGTTGATCCCAGATCCAAAAGTGACATCATCAATGCCTTAATGCAGGGTCTTCGAACTTTTCCAGGCCAAGGACCCCCAAACTGATGGTGAGATGGAGCGGTGACCCCCTAATTATATACAATGTATGAAATAGTGTTATATCAAACTGGTCCTATAGTCACTCTATTACAGATGGAGTAATGTAATGAAAGTAATTCCTCCCTGGGATAATTAAAGTATTTCTGATTCTGATTCCTGGTTGATGGGACAGGTGTTGTGAATGAAACGGTGCCCAGCTTGAAAGAGCTCCTGTGAGTCGCTGAATGTGTGCATTGATGACTGAAAGACATCTTCTGCCTCCATTTATTTGTTTACTAGAGTGTGTTGAATTCATGATAATGTTTATTTAAAGACATTTCAATTAGTGGAAAACATTGTAGGGGGAATATAAAAAAAAGGCTAATTGACTAAAACTTTCACAACCCCCTTGCAGTACCTCCATGGACCCCCTAGGGGTCGCGGACCCCCTGTTGAAGTCCTCCGCTTTAATGAGTTAATAAAAAAGGAGCCCTTATTCATCATTCTGCTTCATTCCATCTCTATTCTCCCACTCTGCAGAATCTATTAGTTCAATCTCTAACCTTCTGCTCTCTCTGCTTTTTCTCATAGTAACTTCATCTGATCTGTTCCTGTTTGGCTGTGACTCCATCCTGGAGAGAAATATCAGCTGTGCTGCTGCCATCAACACCTTTGTTTATAGATGTTGGTGATCGGCCTGTTTTTCAGTATTGTCCTGTTTCTCTAACTGTGACTAACTGGATGTGCTCTCTTCATCCTCTGACATGGGAGCTGACTCGGAGCTCATCTGCCTGGCTGTGTGTTTCCTGGAAGGGGCCGCCTTTTACAGCTGCTTTCTGTATCTCTGCTTCTGTCTCCTTGAACCCCAGTCGGCCTCGGCAGATGGCCGCTCACGCTGAGCCTGGTTCTGCTGGAGGTTTCTTCCTGTTAAAAGGGAGTTTTTCCTCGCTACAAGCATGCTTAGTGTGAGGGATTGCATTAGAGTCAATGAGTCGATGCAATCAACTGGTTTTCCTGAGATAGAAAATGTTGAATCAATTTGACTCGATGATTTGGTGAACTGTAAAGTGCTTTGAGATGACATGAGTTGTGAATTGGCGCTATAGAAATAAACTGAATTTAATTAATTTGGTTCCTCTTTCCACATTTGAGTTATATCAAAACTGCTCAGGCTTTTAGAAAAAGGTCCGGCGAGGACCGACCTCTAGCCTTTGGCTGCAGGAAAACAGGGAGCCAACTGAGATCATCATCACACTTTATTGTGCAGAAAAGTTCATTTGTATTTTCAGACCCCAGGAGCAACAAAGCAGCTGTTAATAAAGTTTAGATGCAAACTACTTCCTTTAAAGTTTGACAAATTGAAATGAGAAGGAAAAGAAGGAGTGAAATTTAAAGTGCAATAAAAACATCAGCGGACTGGAAAGGCAGCAGCTGCTGTAACTCCGGCAGCCTGACGTGATCCGTAAACCAGTGAAGAGATGAACAAACCTCGGCTCCTGCTGTGACCGCTCTGCATTCTGCTACTCATTTTTCACAGAAAAAAATTCACGGAAACATTTTTCTGTAACTTTGCTACGTGCAAATAAATGTTTGTGGAGAAAGTGATGCTGCAATGCATCCGGCCATATTTCATGCAGAGAGATTAAGCACAGCAGACAGAATAAATGCTGAATCTGCCTTGTTATGATGATAGAAAGTGGAGCAGCATCCAGAGGAGCATCTGAACACAATGACCGGCATTTGGAGGTGAAATTAGTTCCCCTAAACACGCAAGAGAGAACCGCTTAGAAAACGATCATCTCTCCATACAATAAAATAAATCGAAATCTAGATAAGTCATTTTTTACTTATAATACGTGCATTTGGTCTTGGATGAGGCAAAAGATACATTTTGCCAATGGAACAAGACAATTTACACTTAAAAAAAAAAAACACAATTTCATTGCCTTATTTAAAGCGCATGTTATCGAATTATCTGATTTCAAGAGTAAAAATACTCATTCCAATCACAAACTATCTCATTTACCTACTCAAATTATTGGTAAATACACTTAATTTAAGACATTATTACTTATTTCTAGATCGTTTTTCCAATGCAGGAAAGAAGAAGCTTCAGAAGCAGCTGGCATTTAGGGTTTAGTTCATAAAGGAAAGGAAAACCAGTGGATTGCATCGACTCATTAACTCAAAGGCAATCCCTCACATTAAGCATGCTTGTAGTGACAGTGGAGAGGAAAAACTGCCTTTTAACAGGAAGGCCGACTGGAGTTCAAGGAGACAGAAGCAGAGATACACAAGGCAACTGTCAACCAGCTCCATGTTTTAGAGCATTTATGAAATTCTGACTCCCTCTGATGGCGAGAAAATCTATGATAAACTCAAACCTGGACGCCTTTTAAAACAAGTTAAATAGATGAAGTAGAAAGCAGCAAAAAACTGAAACATTTAAAGCTTGTGTTCAACAGCAGATTAAGTAGAACATTTCCAGGTTATTTTCTAATTTTGAGAAATATTTAAAAACTCACAAGTTTCTGTATTTAACGTAAAACTCCTCTGCGTCCTCCGTTGGGTCCTCGGACGACGTCTGGAAAAAATTAATCGATCAGCATTAATTAATAAGATGCTTTGCGACATCTAAAGGGTTAAAGTTCTCACAGGACAAATATGATAGAAAAGTTAGCAGCAAATCAGAATAATTCCAAGTAAAGCAGCTGAGTTTGGAGTTTTTTTTTTTTGTTTTTTTTTTACCTCTTTCTTTACTTTCCTGACAGCCAGGATCTTCTCGATGATGTTTGCCTCATCCTCAGGAGGTTCCTGACAAACAGAAACAGATCAGGGATGAAAGGAAATCTATGTTCATACATCTATGTTCATGTCAGCAAGACCAAAGGAAGGAAAACCCAGCAGCTACAGGTCAGCATAGAAACAGAACCAGTAGAAGGGTCAGAGAAACATCCATCATCCATCCATCCATCACTCATCCATTCATTATCCGTTAGGGGTGGAACGGTTCACAAAATCCACGGTTCGGTTCGGTTCACGGTTTCATGGTCACGGTTTTCGGTTCGGTTCGGTATATGATGATTGTTAGCCTGACATGTTAGTCGTGTTGATGTTAGCATAAACAAAACTTTTGTTGCACTTTTATCCACAACTTTCTTTACGCCGTCATCGTAGGTCACTCTAAATGCAAAGTGGTCCCATACAGCAGACCTATAAAGTGCTGCTGGTGAGTCTTCCAACTCCTGTTCTTTCCCACTCGCCATACCCACACAATTCTCCACAACAACTGATTTGTTTCTGCTACACCCAGCTAAGCTGCTTCGCTTCTTCTTCTTCTTGTTTACTACTGGTGGTTGGCTTTGGTCGCAGTACCGCCACCTTCTGCTGTGGAGTGTAAACGCTTCGCCTATGAGAAACAGGAGCAGCGCATGAACCGAACGAAACACACGCGAATCGAACCGAGACAGTCGAACCGAACGGTTCGGAGGGTTTTCAAAAACCATTCCATCCCTATTATCCATCCAACGAAACATCCATCCATCACCCACCCAACCATCCATCCATCATCCATCCAACGAAACAACCATCCATCCATCACCCATCCAAGCATTCATCCATCATCCATCCAACGAAACAACCATCCATCCATCATCCATCCAACGAAACAACCATCCATCCATCACCCATCCAATGAAACAACCATCCATCCATAAACCATCCAAGCATCCATCACCCATCCAAGCATTCATCCAACGAAACAACCATCCATCCATCACCCATCCAAGCATCCATCACCCATCCAAGCATCCATCACCCATCCAAGCATTCATCCATCATCCATCCAACGAAACAACCATACATCCATCACCCATCCAAGCATTCATCCATCATCCATCCAACGAAACAACCATACATCCATCACCCATCCAAGCATCCATCACCCATCCAACCATCCATCCATGATCCAACCATCCATCACCCATCCAACCATCCATCCATGATCCAACCATCCATCACCTATCCAACCATCCATCCATGATCCAACCATCCATCACCTATCCAACCATCCATCCATGATCCAACCATCCATTCATGATCCAACCATCCATCACCCATCCAACCATCCATCCATGATCCAACCATCCATCACCCATCCAACCATCCATCCATGATCCAACCATCCATCCATGATCCAACCATCCATCACCTATCCAACCATCCATCACCCATCCAACCATCCATCCATGCTCCAACCATCCATCACCTATCCAACCATCCATCCAGGATCCAACCATCCATCCATGATCCAACCATCCATCACCCATCCAACCATCCATCCATGATCCAACCATCCATCACCTATCCAACCATCCATCACCTATCCAACCATCCATCACCCATCCAACCATCCATCCATGATCCAACCATCCATCACCTATCCAACCATCCATCACCCATCCAACCATCCATCACCTATCCAACCATCCATCACCCATCCAACCATCCATCCATGATCCAACCATCCATCCATGATCCAACCATCCATCACCTATCCAACCATCCATCACCCATCCAACCATCCATCCATGCTCCAACCATCCATCACCTATCCAACCATCCATCCAGGATCCAACCATCCATCCATGATCCAACCATCCATCACCCATCCAACCATCCATCCATGATCCAACCATCCATCACCTATCCAACCATCCATCACCTATCCAACCATCCATCACCCATCCAACCATCCATCCATGATCCAACCATCCATCACCTATCCAACCATCCATCACCTATCCAACCATCCATCACCCATCCAACCATCCATCCATGATCCAACCATCCATCCATGATCCAACCATCCATCGCCTATCCAACCATCCATCCATGATCCAACCATCCATCCATGATCCAACCATCCATCACCCATCCAACCATTCATCCATGATCCAACCATCCATCCATGCTCCAACCATCCATCCATGATCCAACCATCCATCACCCATCCATCCAACCATCCATCCATGGTCCAACCATCCATCACCTATCCAACCATCCATCACCCATCCAACCATCCATCCATGATCCAACCATCCATCACATATCCAACTATCCATCACCTATCCAACCATCCATCACCTATCCAACCATCCATCCATGATCCAACCATCCATCCATCCATCACCCATCCAACCATCCATCACTCATCCAACCATCCATCACCCATCCAACCATCCATCCATGATCCAACCATCCATCACCTATCCAACCATCCATCACCCATCCAACCATCCATCCATGATCCAACCATCCATCCATGATCCAACCATCCATCCATGATCCAACCATCCATGATCCAACCATCCATCCATGATCCAACCATCCATCCATGATCCAACCATCCATCCATGCTCCAACCATCCATCCATGATCCAACCATCCATCACCCATCCAACCATCCATCCATGATCCAACCATCCATCACCTATCCAACCATCCATCACACATCCAACCATCCATCCATGATCCAACCATCCATCACATATCCAACCATCCATCACCTATCCAACCATCCATCATCTATCCAACCATCCATCCATGATGCAACCATCCATCCATGATCCAACCATCCATCCATGATCCAACCATCCATCCATGATCCAACCATCCATCCATGATCCAACCATCCATCACCTATCCAACCATCCATCCATGATCCAACCATCCATCCATGATCCAACCATCCATCACCCATCCAACCATCCATCCATGATCCAACCATCCATCCATGATCCAACCATCCATCACCTATCCAACCATCCATCACCCATCCAACCATCCATCCATGATCCAACCATCCATCACATATCCAACCATCCATCACCTATCCAACCATCCATCCATGATCCAACCATCCATCACCCATCCAACCATCCATCCATGATCCAACCATCCATCCATGATCCAACCATCCATCACCCATCCAACCATCCATCCATGATCCAACCATCCATCACCTATCCAACCATCCATCACCCATCCAACCATCCATCCATGATCCAACCATCCATCCATGATCCAACCATCCATCACCCATCCAACCATCCATCCATGATCCAACCATCCATCCATGATCCAACCATCCAACCATGATCCAACCATCCATCCATGATCCAACCATCCATCACCTATCCAACCATCCATCACCCATCCAACCATCCATCCATGATCCAACCATCCATCACATATCCAACCATCCATCACCTATCCAACCATCCATCACCTATCCAACCATCCATCACCTATCCAACCATCCATCCATGATCCAACCATCCATCCATGATCCAACCATCCATCACCCATCCAACCATCCATCCATGAACCAACCATCCATCCATGACCCAACCATCCATCCATGATCCAACCATCCTTCACCTATCCAACCATCCATCCATGATCCAACCATCCATCACCTATCCAACCATCCATCACCCATCCAACCATCCATCCATGATCCAACCATCCATCCATGATCCAACCATCCATTACCCATCCAACCATCCATCCATGATCCAACCATCCATCCATGATCCAACCATCCATCACCTATCCAACCATCCATCCATGATCCAACCATCCATCCATGATCCAACCATCCATCCATGATCCAACCATCCATCACCCATCCAACCATCCATCCATGATCCAACCATCCATCCATGATCCACCCATCCATCACCTATCCAACCATCCATCCATGATCCAACCATCCATCACCCATCCATCCATGATCCAACCATCCATCCATGATCCAACCATCCATCACCCATCCAATCATCCATGATCCAACCATCCATCCATGATCAAACCATCCATCACTCACCCAAAGAAACAACCATCCATCCATCATCCAACCAACATTCATGGAACCAACCATCCATCCATCCATCCATCCATCCATCCTCTAAAGGTGCCAATTATAGTACAGACAGATAAATAAATCTCATTTTTATATTCAGAGTACCTGGGTGGAATGCAGCAGTAGAACATGCAGCCTTGCAGCGCTATCAGTGCACACAGCTCAATAACATTCTGCAGCATTGAAAACTAAAAAAGTTTTAAACAGGATCTGCCATCCATCCATGATCCAACCATCCATCACCCATCCAACCATCCATCCATGATCCAACCATCCATCCATGATCCAACCATCCATCACCTATCCAACCATCCATCACCTATCCAACCATCCATCACCCATCCAACCATCCATCCATGATCCAACCATCCATCCATGATCCAACCATCCATCTATGATCCAACCATCCATCACCTATCCAACCATCCATCCATGATCCAACCATCCATCACCCATCCAACCATCCATCCATGATCCAACCATCCATCCATGATCCAACCGTCCATCACCCATCCAACCATCCATCCATGATCCAACCATCCATCCATGATCCAACCATCCATCACCCATCCAACCATCCATCCATGATCCAACCATCCATCCATGATCCAACCGTCCATCACCCATCCAACCATCCATCCATGATCCAACCATCCATCCATGATCCAACCATCCATCACCTATCCAACCATCCATCCATGATCCAACCATCCATCCATGATCCAACCATCCATCACCCATCCAACCATCCATCCATGATCCAACCATCCATCACCTATCCAACCATCCATCCATGATCCAACCATCCATCACCCATCCATCCATGATCCAACCATCCATCACCTATCCAACCATCCATCCATGATCCAACCATCCATCACCCATCCATCCATGATCCAACCATCCATCCATGATCCAACCATCCATCACCCATCCAATCATCCATCCATGATCCAACCATCCATCCATGATCCAACCATCTATCACTCACCCAAAGAAACAACCATCCATCCATCATCCAACCAACATTCATGGAACCAACCAACCAACCATCCGTCCGTCCATCCATCCATCCATCCATCCATCCATCCATCCATCCTCTAAATGTGCCAATTATAGTACAGACAGATAAATAAATCTCATTTTTATATTCAGAGTACCTGGGTGGAATGCAGCAGTAGAACATGCAGCCTTGCAGCGCTATCAGTGCACACAGCTCAATAACATTCTGCAGCATGGAAAACTAAAAAAGTTTTAAACAGGATCTGCCAAGCAGACCAGGAAGCTAAGAGCCTCTGTCTAGGCTCACCTCCGCCTGCCATGCCAGCGCCGTGGCGTTTAGTGCAGAGATGCGTCCAGCTCCAAGAACCGCAATCGTTTCTCCGTCATCGTCCACCACCTTGAAGTCCAGGTCTTCGTTATACTTCCTCCTTTTGACTTGTCGTCCTGAACGGCGCTTCTGAGAACAAAAGTAAAAAGATGGATTCAGTATGGAGGGAAAAAAGGACCAAGTTCTGGGAAAACTGCAGACGGAAACCAGGGAAGCAGAGAGATTGGGTCTAATTATTACAGTACTTCTGAATTTTTTTCTTTTAATGAAGAGATCCAGCTATTTGACAGGTTTTAGCTCATCTAAACAAAAGATAAAACATCCTGCATCGGGTCTGTCTACAGTGTGCTGCGGGGGGGATTGGAGCGCTTCCTTGCTTCACAGTTTGACGTCTTACACATCAGCTGGTTAACATTTCCCTGCACCCATTCTTACCACAGCGCCATCCTGAGAATCTCCACTGATGAGGTTTCATGCAGCTTCAGCCTCCAGGAGAGCCGATCTCTCTCTGAAAGACGTCTTTTTATTCCCCCTGCTACATCTTTGCTGCTTCTTCGTGACACAACCTTCATCTGGTTGAGCGGATACTCTGCTGTGATTGGTCAGGATTTAGTTCAGTGTGGTGAGGTTGGAAAAGCGGAGAAGCCTCACGTATGTTTGGAACGTGGCGCTTTAGTTGTTAGTAAGTGAAATTATCTACCAATTAAGTGCGTTTTGTCCTCTGAAATACTGTAATTAATTTATAAAGATCATTTGAAATAAGGTAACACAGGCATCTTATTCCATTCCATAACTTGCTTTAATCGAGCATCTATGAGGGGTTTTATGTTCTGGTTTGTTGATGACTGGAGCCTCTGAGGCGGTGATTCATGTGGAGCAACGATTGGTCGGTTTAAATGCTTCCTCTTTAAATCGATTCACTACTTTGGTTGCTTTTATTTGAAATTATTTTAGCTGTACTCACACCGCTTATTTTAAGATTCCATCCAACTTCACAGCAAAGAAGCAATGTCATATTTTTGGTTACCGTATTTAAAATAGTATTTAAATTAATTTAACGTAATTTAATAAAATTAATTTAAGTTTGTTTTTTTAGGAGTTTACAGTTATATCTTACAAAATACTTATTTGTTCAAATGTTCTGTCTACTTTTAAGATCTCTTTAAGGTTGCCATAGCGACCGCTTCCAGCAGGATGCGCCTGGGGCAGACTGAACCTCCTGCAGCCCATAGTGCAGCAATTTTAAAGATCTTTTCTGAGCAACCCGTTTATCAAATGCTGCTCGTTTAAGCTCCGCCTACTCACGGCATTGTCCAGGGGGTCCTGGCTGTCGTCCCCTCCCATGTTGGCGGCCGACGCTGAGGCATCGTCGCCGCTCTCCGCTCCCTCCTGGACAGCCGCCTCCTGGTTTCTTCTCTTCCCTTTCTTCTTCTTCTCCACCGGCGCAGCACCGGGGTCTCTGTAAAGGGTCAGAAGTTAGACACGACTGTGGCGGCTGGATCCACTCACCCAATCAGCATCCAGCAAACTAACACAAGTTAAAACAGAGCGCAGATCTAAAGATTCAGGAATTCTGATCAGGCAGACACCCTGTCTACTTTTAAGGCTTAAAACTTTCCTTTTTGATAAAGCTTATAGTTAGAGTGGCTCAGGTTATCCTGCGCTATCTCTATAGTTATGCTGCTATAGGCTTAGACTGCTGGAGGACATAGCGACCCCCTTTTTCATGATTCTGCTTCATTCTATCTCTATTCTCCCACTCTGCAGAATCTGTTAGTTCAATCTCTAACGTTCTGCTCTCTCTGCTTTTTCTCTCTTCATCTGGTCTGTTCCTGTTTGGCTGTGACTCCATCCTGGAGAGAAATATCAGCTGTGCTGCTGCCATCAACGCCTTTGTTTACAGATGTTGGAGATTGGCCTGTTTTCCAGTGTAGTCCTGTTTCTCTGACTGTGACTGGCTGGTTGTGCTCTCTTCATCCTCTGACATGAGAGCTGGCTCGGTGCTCGTCTGCCTGGCTGTGTTTTTCCTGGACGGGGCCGCCTTTTACAGTTGCTTTTTCTATCTCTGCTTCTGTCTCCTTGAACCCCAGTCGGCCTCAGCAGATGGTCGCTCACACTGAGCCTGGTTCAGCTGGAGGTTTCTTCCTGTTAAAAGGGAGTTTTTCCTCTCCACTGTCGCTACAAGCATGCTTAGTGTGAGGGATTGCCTTCGAGTCAATGAGTCGATGCAATCAACTGGTTTTCCTTAGATAGAAACCCTTTGTTGTGAATTGGCTCTATAGAAATAAACTGAACTGAATTGATCAGAACCAAGTGGATCCCTGACAGACTAAGTTTAGCCGGGCCCGTTGTCCAGGGTAGAGGAGGGGCCTGAATCAGTCCCCTACATCCTTTGCTACACATTTTATTTTTTTTTTAAAGATGTTTGCAAGGAAACTGGAGCTTCAATCTTAAGTTTCATAAAAGCTTTAACTATTATTACTTTATTTCGATCCAGTGTAGCACTGGGAAGTAACCCCAGCAGCCATTCCCTCTAACTGGTTATACCTCTGAAGCCGTTTTTCTGAATTCCAAAAAAAAAGAAAATTAAGAACAATCCTGGACTTTGTTTTCCAAGTTTGAAGATGTTTCGCTTTTTCAATTCAAATTGTCATGAAGCCTCAAACTCAACGCTATTCCTGACATTTTGAACTGAAAAAGCTTCCTGGATGGGAAGTGAAACGTCTTCAGACTTGGAATCATAACATATTATACAAATCCATAACAACAAAATGATTGTGGTAATGGAGCACAATAATACTGAAGTGCCAAAAGTGCAAAGTGGCATTAAACACGTACCCATGGCTATCTCCACTATCCCGAACATACGGCTTTACCAGAGATCGGTAACACAAACTGCTCATAGAGCCATATTGGACCAAAAAAACAAAAAAAAGCTCGGCAAAGAACTCATGCTCTTCCTCAACACTGAAGTCCTCAGACATTTTTCTTTCGTTGTTTCTTTCTTTGCACAGGTAAACAGCACATTTCTTCTTCTACGCTTGCATTATCGGCAGAGCAGACGCTGAATGCGCACTTTCGTCTGGTTTGGTCTGCCGCGGTTTCCGTAGACTCGTGAACGCGCTTTTAGGAAATACTATACACTACTGTTTATGCTCTAAAAACATTCTAAATGACTTTGTTTCGAGTAAATTCTGGATGCTACCCACTCAGGACACTTGGAATACATTGGACGAGCAGTATGGAGGAATATTGACACGTTTTTTGTGGACTTTTATGGACCTTTCTGCCTCGGGCACCATAGACCTCCATTATTTGAATGTCAGCAGACAGCAAGAAGCCTCCCAGATCTCCAGATGCATTTGAGATATCAAAAAAGTACTCCAGAGTGTTGTTCAGCATGGGGGTGAGTAGAAAATGAAGGCTAATCATGTTTTGGGTGTACTATTCCTTTAAGGTTCCCGTCAGCGTGAGGAAATATGCTGAGCCTGAAACTGGATCACCGGCTGAACAAAGCAAGCTGTGAATGGGAGCTGGCTGGAACGCTCTTCAGTGTGGAAGCTACGTTTTGAGGGAAACTCCTTAAGTTTCTATTTCAGGATTAGTTTGGTGTTTAACACGACAGAGGATGACAGGAGCAGCTAGTGATGAAGCAGAGGTGTGTCTGGGTTGTTTAACTGGCTCCTACTGCGGAGACCAGAGTAATTTCATTTCAGGGACCAGAGCGCCGCCGCCGGGAAAAGGTCCAACCCACATTACAGACAGGTTTCCCAGCCAGAACTGTTTCACTATAGCTCTGGTGAATTTCAATGGTGAAGTCCTCTGGAAATCTTCAATAATTGTTGTTGATTGCAGATGTGTCTAGTAGTTCCCATTGATTTAGCTTGTAAAGCGGGGAGAATGGCGCTAGGCTTACCGCACCGTGACGTCACTGCTGGAAGATGGCAGGAGGGAGGGGTTACTATATTAGGGTAAAATGGCTGCTACCTAAGACCTGCCCTCTTCTTCTTCTGATTGGCTAATACTGTTAGTTTCAGAGTGCTCCTTTGCTACCATTGGCTGACAAACGCAAGAGGGATTTTGATTGTCTTGTTTTTTGTTTTTTTTTTTAAGTCAATTTATTTTCGAGGGATTCTTTTTACCCACGGACAATCGCTACGAGCCGGAAATCAGGCGTGGGGCCGCATTACTTTAATCCCTCACACATACTTCCCATAATTAGAACAAAAGTAGTGTTGGAACAAAGACAAAAAGTTAGCTGCATTCCAGGAAATACAGGAAATAGAATTTCAGAGAGACTAAATTCCCCCCCCCCCCCCCCCCCCCCCCAATGCCACATAAAGGCTAAAGATGGGATAACCCAAGCTGTGCACCCTATGAAATATTCCTAGCTAAACGTCTGCTTTACTGGCAGGTGAACTCATGAACTCCCGCCCCACCAGCAGACAGAGATAGCAACCTGTGATGGCAGATGTAGAACGTCTGCTCTGTCAAACTGTCCATCATCACCACCTTCCCCTCTATGCTCTGACGGTCTACACCCGCCCCCCACCTTTCTTAAGGGTCCTACCAGTGCGGCCTGCTGTAGAGACCCAGCAGTTCTTACTTGGGTTTGCGGCCCCTCTGTTTTGGCGCCGTGGGGCCTGCAGTCTTGCTGTTGGCCTGGCCGTGACCCTTCCCATGGTTCTGGTCCGCCTGGGTGTTGTTAACTTGAGGCCCGGCTGCAGGGGTTGGAAAGATGAAAAGGATTTTAACATCGGTTAGTCGAACCAAGTGTCGTTTAAGGTTGGAGACCCATCATAGTAATAATGTGAAGTTTAAAGCATGTTTCCATGTTTGCCGGAGCAGTTTGTACTAACAGCAGATCAAATGCAAAACGAGGTGCAACAACTGAAGTCAGCAGCTGAACAAGTGGAAGCTCTAATCTGAAGTGGTTAAAAAAAGCCCAATGAGACGTTCCTACCAACCTTGATTGGTCGCAGCAGGAGGGAGGACTTTGACCTTAGGTTTCCGTCCTCTTTTCCCTGGAACTTTGACAGGAACCGCCGAGGGTTCGGGGGTTTTCACCGCGTTCCTCGGATCCGTTCCGCCGTCCTTCCTGCCAGCCTTTCCCTTTGTCCGACGTTCTTTCCTGTCTTTTCCCTCCTTTGGCTCCTTGCTCCTCCTCAGGGTGAGCACGGGTGTGGCCTCCCTCTCCTCCTTTTGTTTCTTTGGTTTGCTGCTCTCCTTCTCCTCCTCCTCTGCTCCTACTTTCTCCCACTGCGTCTTGTCTTTTTTCTTCCGTTTCTTCTTCACCCTTCCTCCGCCCCCTCCTTCATCCTCCTCGCTGATGGAGGCGTGGGATCTGGGAGCGCCGGCCGTGTGCTTGGCGGTGTGCACGACGCCGACGGCGGCGCAGTGATTGGCTGCGGAAGAGCTTCCCACAGGGGTGAGGATCCGAAGCTGGTCCTTGGAGCCGACGACCAGGTGTGCCCGGGGGATTGTGGGAACCACGGTTTGCGTGTTTCCACCTTGGTCCGAGGAGGCAGCAGCAGGGGAGGCCGGAGGCGGTGTGTGCTTCAGGAGGCCAGTGAACATCTGAAACCAGGAAAACAAGAACAACTGAGCTGGATGTGGTCATCAGGTCAACTGGACAACCTGCTGAAAGGTTGGAAAATTAGAAAGATCTAAAGAGAGTGAGAAAAATAAAATGTAAACATAAAAAAAGTTCATGTTAGAATATATAATATAGAAATAAAAAAATATTAATAAAATCTGTTAAATCATCAAAAACTGTTTAATTTAGGATTAAATATAAAAATACAAAATACGTAGAAACACTTTAATTAAAAAACATTAAAAATTCAAAAGAATTAAACTAACTAAAAATTATTAATCATTCACATAACTTAATGAGGAGCCAGAACAGGCAGTGGGATAAAAAGTAAATAAATAACAATAAACAGTTTTGGTGTTTAATAAAAAGGTTGAGTAATGAGAGGAAATATAAACTGAGGGCAGATAAATAAAAACTATGATTTGAATCGGAGTAACGGTGGCCGGAAAGCAGAAAAGTCCCATTCTGAGCACGTGCTGTTTTTTCCGTGTGAATCATGCTGTGACTAAACACTTAACATGCAGAATAATCCTCCAGCAACCTGCAGGATGCTGCAGCCTTTATCACACGGCCCAAACAGCCATAGGACACGGACAGGACAAGTGTTAAAACCATCTGTATCACGGAAACACAACAAAGAGAATCATTGTTGGATTGAGGTTTGAACCCAAACAGATCTGCAGATTCTATAAATCCACCTGGATGTTTAAATGTTCTGTTCTTCAAAACTGCACCCCTAAAGAGAAGCACCTTTAAAGGAATAGTACACCCAAACCATGATTAGCCTTCATTTTCTACTCACCCCCATGCTGAACAACACTCTGGAGTACTTTTTTGATATCTCAAATGCATCTGGAGATCTGGGAGGCTTCTTGCTGTCTGCTGACATTCAAATAATGGAGGTCTATGGCGCCCGAGGCAGAAAGGTCCATAAAAGTCCACAAAAAACGTGTCAATATTCCTCCATACTGCTCGTCCAATGTATTCCAAGTGTCCTGAGTGGGTAGCATCCAGAATTTACTCGAAACAAAGTCATTTAGAATGTTTTTAGAGCATAAACAGTAGTGTATAGGATTTCCTGAAAGCGCGTTCACGAGTCTACGGAAACCGCGGCAGACCAAACCAGATGAAAGTGTGCATTCAGCTCGGCAAAGAACTCATGCTCTTCCTCAACACTGAAGTCCTCAGACATATTTCTTTCGTTGTTTCTTTCTTTGCACAGGTAAACAGCACATTTCTTCTTCTACGCTTGCATTATCGGCAGAGCAGACGCTGAATGCGCACTTTCATCTGGTTTGGTCTGCCGCGGTTTCCGTAGCGTCGTGAACGCGCTTTTAGGAAATCATATACGCTATATGCTCCTTTATGCTCCAAAAACATTCTAAATGACTTCGCTTCGAGTAAATTATGTACGCTACCCACTCAGGACACTTGGAATACATTGGACGAGCAGTATGGAGGAATATTGACACGTTTTTTGTGGACTTTTATGGACCTTTCTGCCTCGGGCGCCATAGACCTCCATTATTTGAATGTCAGCAGACAGCAAGAAGCCTCCCAGATCTCCAGATGCATTTGAGATATCAAAAAAGTACTCCAGAGTGTTGTTCAGCATGGGGGTGAGTAGAAAATGAATGCTAATCATGTTTTGGGTGTACTATACCTTTAAATGAAGCAGTAGGGCTGGGCGATATAGAAAAAAAGCTTATCGATAAAAAAAATGCATATTGATCGATATCGATAATTATTGAAAAGATTTGAAACCATATTTTATGTGCAGCTCTGCCTGGACTTTTTACAATATTGCTAAATGATTTAATTTTAATAAAAAATACAAACACAGACTTCAAATTAAATCTTTATTTAACCAACTTTTTTAACCATAACAGAATTGTTTTAAAGAAAAATAACTTAAGAGACCTGAGTTATGTTAAAACTGACAAAGAATAAACTAAAGTTACCAGAAAAGTGACCAAAATAAATATAACAAATAAATAAATGCCCCCCCCCCCCCCCCCCCCCAGCACTGAAAATATATATATATTTTCCCGAAATTCCCGAAGATTCCTCGGAGGAGAGCCGCACCGGGGCCTACACAGCTCGTACTCCTGCGGCTGTGAGCGGCTGAGATGATAGAAAAAAAAAAAAAAGTTGGTTGTGTTATCAGACTTCGTTTTCACTGGTTCCCGACACATTTTACAGATGACTGTGGTTTGTTTTTTGTCCGACTTGCCATGACCGAAATACTGCCAAACTTCTTTGAAACAATTTCCTCCGCCTCTCCTTGCTGCACATCTTCATGTGCTCTGTGTTGTGGTTTGAGAGGGCGGCGCTTGGTGACGGCGTGCCTGGGTCCACGATTGTGATTGGTTGGGAGGAAGCAGTGACTAGCATAAACCTACAAGCTAGGCTACAATGAGAAGGAAGGAAAACTGCGTTTCTTTTTTATCGAACTTTTATCGACCTTCTTTTTTTCTATTGCGCCACACGTCTATCGATCGATATATATCGTTATTGAATTATCGCCCAGCCCTATGAAGCAGTCAAAGCAAAGAGTGGGGGATGATCTATTATAAACCTGCTCAGTTCAAAAGTCTCCAGTCATTCTGGGAGCTTCTGTGTCCCTCAGCTCCAGCTAGTTGATCCAGCGCATCCAGAGTCTGACTTTCATGCTGCTGGAGACTTCTTCCTACCTAACGGGAGCCATTCCTCTCCACTGTCGCCATATGCTTGCTGCCTCAAAGCTCATTGCATCAAAAGGTGAATATGAAGTCAGTTCAGTTCAGTCATGAAGAGATTGACTCAGATGCTGGGTAGAGGTGAGTATTGGCATGAGTGTTGCGATTCGATGCATGTTGCAATACTTGGGTGACGATACGATATTATCACGATATTGCAGTATCACTATATAATGCCATATTTTCCCCAGCTATCAAAATCAAATGATGAGATAAAACAGCAAGTGCTGTATATTTTCATCAGAAAATATTGATTAGGTATTATTATCCATGTTGTTTGGGGTTTTCTTCCACTGTGACTGCCTCAAATACAGATTTGGTGCTGCACGCACAGTTAGAGCGCTCCACAGCGCTTTCTGCCAGAGTGGGGGTGCAGAGGTAGCCCATTTTCCCATCAATGTTTTATGTAACCATTTTTTTTTTTTATAGATACTAAGAAGTGAAAGATCGATGTTATATTGGGCAGCCGAATATCACGATATATCGCCAAAACAATTATTTCCCACACCCCTGTTGCTGGGTATGAAAGTTTTAAATCTACCTGTTCATCAAGATGGGAAAGTATAAATCATAGACTACTGCCCAGAAATAAACCAGGATTTCATTAACTTTTCCCATTGCAGCAATCCCTCAACAGTAGACCATGACTGCATTGAATCTACTGTGCAGCATTCCTTGATTAGTAGACCATCAGTGCATTGACTCTTTACCGGGCAGCAATCCCAGTAAAGAGTAAAGACTCGCTTGTGCTCTGAGGAGGTTGCAAGTACCAGGTTCAATCCCAACAGCCTCCACTCTGGGTCCCTGAGCAAGACCCTTCACCTCAAAGTGCTCCCCGGGCGCCGCACAATGGCAGCCCACTGCTCCCCAAGGGGATGGGTTAAATGCAGAGACTAAATTTCTCCATTGTGAGATAAATAAAGTTCAATTTCTAAGAGCAGAGGAGGTTTGCTGCTCCAAACAAAGCAGCTTATTTATATGAAATGTTTGATATGACATTTGCTGTTTATCACAGAGGTTACAAAGCACTGATATAGAGCATCAGTAGCGGGGCATCTCTTCTTGAAATGAGTCAAGTTTGTGTTTCTGGTGATAGAATAAGCCAGAGGAGGAGAAATGACTAAATGCTTCATCTTTTATCAACCAGCAGATGCCAAAAGATTTTGTCAACAGTGTCAGTTCCACAGGGAAACAAAGCAAGGATTCTTTTCTGTGAAACATTTTCAATGCAAATCAATCATCCAGTCTTCTAAACATCTCTGCAGAATTTCCTCTTCCAGGAAACACTGTTTGCTAAAACATTTGCTCAAACTGCGATAACCTAAAGCAGCAGCTGCCAGGCAGGTCCGGAGAACCTTTGCCGCCGGGCGTTTCAGCGCTTCTGTGACGAACATCAGCTGTGCTGCAGAAGACCAGGCAGGTGTTTCCTGCCTGCATGCAGCAGAGAGGTAAACCATGATCGATGGCTCCTGTAGGAACATCCATCAGCATCCGATCGCAGCGCTGCATCCTCTCCGTTATCTGCAGAAACGCTCATCATCATAAATATTCATGGCCAGTTGGAGGACCTCAAGGTCATTGCAGCATGTGGGCAAATATCCATTTGGATCCAACATGCAGAGGAGCCTGAATTACCAGCAGCCAGATAAGATCAGACGCAGCCAGGTTAAATCAGGCAGAACTCAGTCTAAATGTGAAGCTTCTGCAGCTCAGCATCCACTGATGCACAGGAGACAGCAAAGAAAAACATTTACGACATTCACCATGAAGCCAGTCTGTGTTTGGACTCAGACAGCGGATTCAAACGCGAACCTTTGCAGATACGCTTTAGTCGTGGAGCATTAGACAGGAGGTCTTTCTAACCAAACTGTGGAAGCATATTTTTCCTTGGCCTATTTGTGAGATAATATATTTTGTGTGTGCCTTTCCTCTACCAAGATAGGGGTGATTGTTTAGAAGTCTTGTACCAGTCTGTATGCTGGGGTTATGTAGGGAGTTAAGATTGGGGATCACAGAAAGCAGTTGCCTCTCTACACTATACAAGGGTGAAGGGAGGGTCATGAGAGATAAGACTGAGTTCACCCAGCCTCCTTCATGCTGTGAAACGGGAGACCTTATTATCTGGCTAAAATGTATGTACTTGATGAATTGAAGTGTTTTTTCTTGGGAATAACCAAATGTTCTTGTGTGAGAAAGTTCTTTGTGTAAGGGTGGGATAGTTTCCAGGGAGAATGTGTGTATTG